CGAGCGCACGCGCTGGGACAGCGAGATCAACCTCATCGGCCACGAGGGTCCCACCGAAGTCTGCATGTTCTCGCCGCGCCTCTTTTACACCAAGAAGCCGACGCCCAACGGAGAGTCATCCAACGGTCTGAGCAATGGCAATGGCAACAACAGCGCGGCGCGCGAAGGCGAGAGCTTGGTCACGGTGATCGCTTCGGCCGGCCAGGACAAGACGCTCAGCATCTGGAACACGAATACGTCGCGGCCCCTCGTCATCCTCCAGGACATCGCCTCCAAGTCCATCTCCGACCTCGCCTGGACCCCCGACGGCCAGACGGTCTTTGCCTCCAGTCTCGACGGCAGCATCGTCGTCGCCAAGTTTGAAGAGGGCGAGCTCGGCTGGGTCGCCCAGTCCGAAGAGACCGACAAGGCCCTGCAAAAGTTCGGCGCCTCCCGCAAAGGCATGGGCATCGCCGAGGACGTCGACGGCCTGCATCTCGAGGCCCACAGCAAGGCCGGCGAGCTGCGCGGCGCCGAATCACGCATGGGCGCGCTCATGGGCGACGCCAGCGGGGCGAGCGGTGCCAGCACACCCCAGCCGGGCGCCGCGACAACAAACGGGACGCCGCCCAAGACCAAGTCTGGGAGTGACGCGAACGCGAATGGCGATGCGAAGGACGGCAAAGACGGCAAAGAAGACAAGGACAAGGCAGACGCTGCTGCACCCGCCGCAACAGAACCCAAGTCCGCAGAGGAAGAGACGGCAGAGAAGCGCGCCGAGCGAATACAAACACTGAAATCGCGTGTGACCATTACGAAAGACGGCAAGAAGCGCGTCGCACCTCTCCTCGTCTCGTCGTCCGGAACCGGCCAGTCTTCGCTGCCGCAGTCGCAGCTTGTCGGCACATCAAGTACAGGGAAACCCAGTCAAGCTGACACCCCCCAGACCATTCTCGACCTGTCACGGCCGGTGGACGGACTGCCGAGTGGTGGCATCGCGTCCATGTTGCTGGGCACGAAGCGGAAAGCCGCTGTGGTTCTAGAAGGCGAGGATGACGCGACCGACCCGTCTGCTAAGCGCTCGAGCGGGTTGACAGGCGCTGCTGGAGCGACGCCGACCGGGCCAACACCCATCCTCACCAACGGCATTGACGGCACAGAGCCGGCCACCTTGCAAGCTGCGCCACGCGGCATCGTACCGACGCCCGAGTTCATCCGACCTGCCGTCATCAGCCCCGCTCTGTCCATCTCCCAGGTGCGGCTCGGTATCCCCAAAGTGCGCGCCCACATCCTGCGGCCCCTCGAAAAGGGCGTGCTGCAGGGCGAGAGCACCCCCGATGAGGCGTCGCGCATCTCGGAAAACCTCGTCTTCGAGGCCCGCAACCCGGACCAGTTCCGCGACCCGTCCCACATTACCGTGACCAAACGCGGCGAGCTCGTGTGGCAAGACTTTTTGCCCAAGGCCGTGCTCCTAGTGACGGGCAACAAGCACTTTTGGGCTGCCGCCTGCGAGGACGGCACCGTCTATATCTGGACGCCCGCCGGCCGCCGGCTCATCAACGCCATGATTCTCGAGGCACAGCCTGTGATTGTCGAGTGCCGCGAGCACTGGCTGCTCTGTGTGACTGCCGTTGGACTCGCGTATGTGTGGAACGTCCGGACCATGCAATCACCGCATCCGCCTGTGTCGTTGGCGCCAATCCTGGACATTGCCATCCACTCGCTGCACCAACACTCGGCCACCGCAGGACCCGGCGTGACGTCGGCCCACCTGAACTCAAATGGCCACATTGTGGTCACCCTCAGCAACGGCGACGGCTACTACTACGCGCCCAATCTCTACACGTGGCAGCGCCTGTCCGAGTCGTGGTGGGCCGTTGGCAGCCAGTACTGGAATAGCAACGACAGCAGCGTCAGCGCGCTGCAGACCACTGCGGTGGGTCCCGTCACCGCCGCCGATGTGGCCGCCAACGGGGTGCCGTCGATTGCAAAGGACGCCAGCGCCGCCGAAACGACCTCCGCTACCGTCTCGTCCGGCATCATTCCCTATTTGGAACGCCACACCACCAACGAGTTCCTCCTCAAGGGCCGCGCCTATACCCTGCAGCGCCTCATCAAGACCCTGCTGGCGCGCGACGGCTTCGAGGGCTTCGAGGCCAGCGTCAGCATCGCCCACCTCGAGAACCGCATTGCCGGGGCCCTGCAGCTCGGCGCCCGCGACGAGTTCCGACTGTACCTGTTCATGTACGCCAAGCGACTGGGCACCGAAGGCCTGCGCGGCAAAGTGGAGGAGCTGCTCAACAGTCTGCTCGGCGGCGTCCTGCAGGACCCGACAACGACCACCACCGCCCTGTCAAAGACGGCGAACACCAGCAACGCCTTTGGCTGGGCCAGCCGGACGGGCGACCTGTGTGGCTGGGATCGCAAAGAGCTGTTAAAAGGTGTCGTCATGATCTTAGGTATGTCTACCCCGCTGTGTATACTGTATACCATGGTTTTTCACGTTGTATCTCTCTAACACGCCTAGGCAAATTCCGTGAATTGCAGCGCCTGACGGTGCAGTATGCCCGCGTCCTCGAGCTCACCAACGACGGCGATGATGATGCCGACGACGCCGGCGAGAGTATGATCGTTGAGGCGTGAGGCACGGGAGATTGGCATGCTGTTTTTGGCATCATTGGATGGTAGGGTGTTCTCGTTGTGTTCCCTTTTTTGGTTTTTGTATTCGACTTTGTTCAAAGTTCGGCGTCTTGGGTTGGCGGGTGAGGTTCTCTTTGGTGGTCTGATGGTATACTTGTCATCGTTTCAGTTTCCTCTGCATGTGGACTCTTGGTCTCTTGTTTCAAAGCAATGCTTCTCACTTCGTTGGTTTCGTTTGAATTTCCGCCACTGCCCTGGACTCCACTGCCATGCTATTATATTGTACATCATTCAACTATGCATTCATATCATCCCTTGTTCTCATTTTTTCTTGTTTGCGTTCAAGTTTATGAACATTATGGCCAATTCGACCCAAAGTCGAGATGAGTACGGCACTGGTGCACAGCCCTGATCCCAGACGATGCGCCACACACATACAAATTTGCACGTGCCAGGTCCCTGGCTCGGTCAGCCCCCAAGGAGCCGTTGCACCCCCAGCTGCTTCAACTCCCATTGCGTCACAGACACCGCCATCTCTGCGAGGTACAGGTTGCTTCCATTGGCACACGGCGCAATGGAGCAAACAATGGTAAGGCTGGCACAATACCAGATATCAAATTTCTTCGAGCAGAACGCGCCGATCACGCAGGATCAGTGCAACGACTATGCCGCGGCTATGACCGGCGCGTCCGTCACACCGACAGCTGTCCGGGGCGGAAGTAGCTACACTGTCGTGGCGGGCACGTGCATTGTGCAGTTTCGCAACCAGAACTCGCCCTTTGACCTAGAGTTCTTTGGCTACATCGAACAAGCCTACAAGGGCTTCACGCCGCTGCACGAGGGCCGTGGCCGACTGGGCAGCCTCCATGTGTACAAGATGACCAACGTGGGCGGCGTCTCCATGTATCTCGCTCGCGAAGCGCTGCACAAAGACGACTTCCGTCTGCTCGCAACCACTGTTCAGAGCTTTGCCAGGTGTGTCTCCTGTCCTCGTCCGCATGCAAGTCCACGCCGCACGTGTGCATACCGCTCACTTCTGCGACCCACCGTCCGTTCAGGTTCTTTGCCTCAGCCTGGCACAACACGCCGGCCGCCATGCCGCGCAACGATCCACTTGTCTTGTCGGCCGAGTACGTCGAGCAACTCACGATGCTCAGAGAGGGCTTGCCCGTGCGCTTCCGCCTAACGTTGGAGGGCATCATTGCACAGCTTCCGCGGCTTTTCACAGAGGACTGGCCCCAGGTGCCCAACCACGTCGACCTCCTGGAGAACAACATCCATGTAGACCCAACGACTGGAGCCGTGACTGGCGTCTGTGACTGGCCTGGGGCGGCCATGGGCCCGTTCGGCATGTCCCTCGGGGGACTTGAGACCATGCTCGGGGTGAACCGGGTGGCCAAAGGCTTTTGCTATCATCCCAAGCAGCAACATCTACGAGATCTCTTCCACGAGAGCCTCGAGCAAGACTTGGGGTCCGTCTCGGACGACGACTGTGAACGGATGCGCGTCGCCACTCTGGCTGGTCTCTTTCTGGAAAATGGCTTTGCCTATACGGATGGAGGTACCAAAATTCCTGCGAGAGAGGGTTCCATGGATCTGGCATATCTCGACGTGGTTCTTCCGCGCCTGGGGAAATCGCTAACGAGTGTTGGTAATACTGAAACTGCTTGAATTCAACGGTCGTACGGTCGTGCGACAATAGATTATGACTGAAAATAAAATAGGACGACAGGTCGCCGTGAGTGTACATGTTGTGTCGATAACCGCCATAATCTGGGGAGGGTAGAAAGGAGAGAGGCCTTTGACAATGTTCGTAGAAACAATGTTGGCAGTCTAGAACGCTTTGCCGAATATGGAGAGAGGTCTCATCTGTATCTTGGTACTCCGCGTCGGAATGCACCGTCTTGTTTTAGACAGTAGCAGCGATCATGACATAGGCTCAACTCCCGTCTGCAAACATCGCTCAAAACATCCATCACTCCTCCGTCACTGTTGCAACCGAAGCCGCCATGACTAGCCGCCTGCTGTGGTGGATTTGGTGGACCAAAGGACGGTCATTTCGTCATGGACGGGCGTTGTTTTTCCAACTACACGAGAGCACAAGGAAGCCACTGCACCGGTGCTGGAGCTGGGACGTACAGACCAAAAGATGGAGGGCTCTTAGCTCAACGTCAGTTTCATACCGGAGGTGGAAATTATCAGCCGTTATGATATTCTCACCCTGGACCATCTTTACTGCACGTGGACGCTCGTTGACAGCTGTCGAGACCGACTTTGATATCACTCTGCTAATGTGAGGACGTTTCCTCATGTGGTAGGGGGTATCTATGCGCACTATTTGGCATGCATTTTCAACGGCCATGATCTGCACCGATGGGTCGTCATGTCGCCTTCCTCCTCCGGACTTCTACTTTGACATCCACTGGTGGGATGATCGTCTGTCCAATCCAGATGTTCTTTGGTTTCGTCTCGAGGGGTTTGAATTCAAAATTGGTGAGAAGGTGGGCCAGAATCATCTTGAGCTCGTGTGCCACAAAGAAACGGCCGGGGCTGTTCAGTTAGCGGGAACGCGTCTTTCCCATTTGTTGACACAGCCGCAAGATGCTTCACTTACCATGCATGCCGGCCGTGGCCAAAGGCCAGGTGGCTGTCGCTCGTGGTGACCATGCCCAGCTTGAGCCCACGCATCGCGTCGGCCGCAATCTGCTCGGGCGTTTTCGTGGTCTCTTGTTCGCCTCCGGCACCTGCTGGCGCCGCGACTGTGGCAGCGTCATACGCCTCGCGCTGCCGTGCATAGCGAAATGCATCGTACTGGTCTGGGTTCGTATACAAGTCCGGGTCGTGGTGCGTGCCGGCCAGGTCCAGCATCAGGAGGCCGCCGTACGGCACATGCCATCCCTCGGCCGCATTGGTGACCCCGCCCGGTGCAATGACTTTGCGTTTGACCAGTGACGTGGCAAAGTTGCTAACGCGCATGCTTTCGCGGATGGCGCTGTCGGTGCGCCAGAGACGGGCGAGCGACGGCTTGGTCCAATGGTTGTCGAGTGACGTGTCCCGCGCCGCCTGGACCTCTTCGCGGATGCCCTCGATGTAGGCCGGGTCGGACGTCAGCAGATCGATAATGACAAAGAACCCGGTCAGCACAGTCGTGTGGATGGCGGCAAACTCAATGGGCAGCAGGCGCTTCGAGATGGCGACAGGGTCGAGCTCGGCTCTGCGGTTCTCGGCCAGGGCCATGCGTATGTGCCAGGTGATAAAGTCCTCGTTGACCGTGTCCCTGGCTTCGTTCGTCTCAGGGGACGTCATGACGCGGATACGCTCCAGGATGAGCGGTTCCAAGAAACCGTGGGCACGGCGCCAAAGACGACGGTTCGGGATGCTGGCGAGGCGGCCCACGAGCGGGTGCAGCAGTTTTGGGAACATGTTGAGCAGGAAGCTGTTCGTGACGACCGTGTCGGCAAATTTGACAAATGTGTCGAGCAGCGGCTGGTTGCGGCAGGCGTCCGGGCCCACGAGGAGGAGATTTGTAATCTGTGGCACCATGGCCAGCCAGGCGTCCCAAAGCTTGATCGTGTGCCATTCGCCATCACCGTCACCGGCAGCGGCAGCGGCAGTGGCGTCGCCGCCACCAAAGGCCGCATCGACAGCCACAATCACCTCGTTCTCAACAGCCGGAAGCAGACCCGGCAGGTGCCGAGCCAGGCTGCGGTGGACAACGCGCGTGTGGAAATCCTCGTCAACGGGCGAGTGCTTGTGGTCGTGGTGGTCGCCGGGGCCGCGTGGCGGGACGGGTGGCAGGCCGTGCTTGGTCGCATAGGCTCGGGCATGCGCGTGGGCGTCAAAGATGAAATTATGCTCCGTATAAAGCACATCGCCGTGCGCGGCATGGGCCGACAGGACGTGGTCTGGCAGGTCGAGCATCCAGGCCGTCTGGTTGCGGGGCACTACGACTTCTTGCGGCCGCGAGGCCGCCGACGGCACAAGAAATGCCTTGTTCTGTTTGGAGAACTTGTTGTAGCCCTCGTCGACCCAGTCGTTGAAGTAAAAAATGTAGCCGAACCAGTTGCGCAGCGTCGCAATGACGCTGTCGCCGTAGCCGACCCGGGGCAGAGACCGCGGGTAGCGCGGCTTGAGGGCGCAGTCCGCCAGGAAGGCCGCCACGAGAAAGGCCGCGACAGCGGCAATGATACGGGCGACTGTCAAGCGGGCAGCCAGTGCGGTGAGAGACTCGACAACATGGGTGACGAAGAAGCTCACGAAACAGACTGCAGTGCTAACGAGGTTGGACGGCGAAGATGCGCCAGCTAGTGAGGTAAAACAGGACGCCGTGCTCAAAGACGCAGCGGCGGCCACCGGGTGCTGTCCGGTGGACGTATTTGTCGCCATTGCGACGGACAGCAAAGCGTTGCGCTCAAACCGAGTCTGTGGGCGGCGGTCAAAACGAGGCAAAATATTGACGATGGGGGAAAGGAGAGGGGGGAAAGGAGAGGGGGGAAGAGGTAAGCAGTACGAGACGTGGAAAAGGCAGAAAGAGCAAGTAAAGGGAAGGCGCGATGCTTTGTCCAGGCCTGGCGTGCTCCTTCCGTCCAACGACGTCGGCTTTTGTCGCTCAGCCCTATGATTCGTGAGGCGAAGCCAGCATTCGGACGCCGTACGTGTCTTGCGTCTTATCTGCAGTTGTCCGGTTGTCGTCTCTGTGTACTGCAGTCGCAGTTGCTCACAGGCGGAGGCGCAGTGCTTTTGCACAGTCCAAAACTCAGTACTCAGTATTGTTTATGGCCGCCGCCAATGAAGCCGTGATTTTCTGCCTTTCCACGTTGGGTCTTTTGGCGAGACGCTTACTTTTAGGCGCAGACAGTTTGGGAAATGGCTCTTCTTATTGCTGGTCTCTTGTGCAACCTGCTCTCTGCTGTACCTCCCCTTTGTTGTGGCGCGCTGCACGCTCCCTCTCAGCTTACCGTGTTTCAAGGGCTCTTAAAAGTCTCCGAAGGCCCGGTCAGCAATTATCGCGTAATTGCACTGCTGGGGAAGGCAGGGGCGTGAACAAAATGGTAGTTTACAGGTAAGAGCGACTGCGCAGACAGTAAATTCCAGAAATAGAAAGGGCAGGGCAGCGTTTCTCGGGGTCACGGCCAATTCGCCGTCACTATACTATGCGCTTACACGGTCGCTCTCACCACGTCTTTGTTTTTCTATTTCTTTTTTTCTACAATACTCCAGTCAGAGTACGAAATACATCGTAGCCAAAAAGTGTCTCAAGTTGAAGGTGTGTTTGTCAGGGGTAGCTCTGGCGCTAGAGAAGTACTACCACTGCACAGACCACAGCTAATCCAACGGTGGTGTTTTGTCAGGAAGGTGCGTCCCATGTGTATGCATGCGACCGAGGTAAGCGGATGGGGCGTTTGGTACGGTTCAGTTTATCTATTTCAAAAACCTTTTTTATAGAATCGAAGAGGGCGAAAGCAACAAGAGCATATACACGGCATTATCGCAGCTAGACATATTGGAAAGTCTTGAATATTGCAAAAATATATCGTATCCGAATCACAGCGCTGTGCAGTATGACGCGAGAAGAAAAAACAAAATCAAGAAGAAACAAATTACGTCGTGAAACGGTAGAAACGCAAAAGAGACATGAAAAAGGACGAACATAGCAAACAAATTCAACGAATAGGAATACGCGGAGTCGGTTGTTTGAACGCTTGGATCCCTCCATGTTTGGCAGCTTAGGTGCGAGCACTTAAACCTCCTTCAGCCCCTGCCGCTTCTCAGCATTGCTGGGCAGTTGTCTGTGTTTCACCACGCGACGTCTTCAAGATCAATATGCAGTTATACGACATCGCGTATTATGGGTTGTTGGTATGGTGAATATCCTTTTGGAGTGACTTTTTATTTGCTGTTTTAAACGTACAATTTACCTTACGTGAATTAGTTTGTGTACAATTATTGCCAAAACATAAAAACCTGCAAGAACTGCGTAAAATAATACTCTGCTTAGAAGAATGTTGCTAAATGTCACAGCTATCACACAAAATGCAAAAATGCAATATGAATCCGCTTTATGTATACCTGCTCAGCTCATCCACCGCCTCACTCTACTGTACCTTCACAGACCGACGCTTCTTGCCAACACCAACACAAACATAATAGTCCAGGTACAGCGAAGAACAGTCATCCTGTCAAGTTAGTTTCATTACGAAAAGTAAACAAAGTAAAAGTAAACCAGAATTTGTAACGGAGACATGACTCACCCCAACGGCCGGATTCCACTTGTAGAATTCCGCCAGAGTAATCTTGTTCTTGTTGCTGGAGACAATTTTTTGGCACGTGTCGCCCTTGACGACCTTGTAGAAGCTATTGCACGACGGGTCGATGCCGTCCTGTACGGGGGATGGCCCCTTGGTCGGTGTGGGCGTCGGCTTGGCGGTGGGCGTGCCGGGGACGCCGACACAGACATACGTGTCGAGCCAGAGACCAGAGCAGTCGTTGCCGATGGCCGGGTTCCAGCCGTAAAAGTCGTCGAGCGAGAAGGTGCCGTACTTGGCCACGATTTTGGCGCACGTGTCGCCCTTGACGACCTTGTAGAAGCGCGTGCACTTGTCGGTCAGGCCGTCCTGCGTGGGCGACGGCAGGGGCGAGCCGGTGGGCGACGACGACGTCGGTTTGGAGGTGGTGGGCTTCGTGGTGGAGGTGGCGGTGGTGCCGACGCAGACGTACGTGTCGATCCACAGACCCGAGCAGTCGGTGCCGACGGCCGGGTTCCAGGCATAAAAGTCGGACAGCGAAAAGGTGCCAAACTTCTTGACCACCTTGGCGCATGTGTCACCTTTGGCCACTTTGTAGAAAGAAATGCCTGGTCATGTAAGTGACGAACACACCAAACGTCAAGCATAATTCTCGAGCCAAAAAAAAAAAAAACAACTCCAAAAAAAAAAAACGGCAATGTCTTACAATCTGGTGTGATGCCATCTTGGACAGGCGACGGGATGGGCGAGCCATTGGGCGCGGTGGGTGTTGTCGGCGCAGAAACGGTTTCGGTTCCGGTTCCAGTTCCTGTTCCACCGCTGCTTGGATCGCCCGATGTCGGCGAGGGTAGAGGAGGTGTGATGGACGGACTTGTGGGAAGAGCACTGAGGCCGTAGTTTTGCTCAACGCAGTACGTCTCGCCGGCAATGACGCCGTCGGAGCAGTTCCAGCCGGTGATGGGGTTGTAGACGGCAAACTGTCCCACATTCAGGCCCCAGGCAGCGGCAATGGTGGCACATGTGTCGGTTGCGGAGGCGACGACACTCCAAGTGCAGTCTTGCCGTTGGAGTGCAGCAGCCGATGCGGCCGAAAGAAAGCCGGCCACGGTGACGGCGACTTTGAGGAGAGAGGGCATCGTGATGTAATTTCGTACAGGAGTTTGAAATATACTTCAGTGGCAAAGAAAAGAGAGGTAAACCAAAGAAAAAAAAGGGAAGGAGAAAAAAGCAAAAAAAAAAAAAAAAAGAAATAAAGACTTTCAATCGACTTTAAGCTTAAAATGACTGGTTATTCCAAAAAGCCACAACAGAGTGGTTGTTGAGTGGTCGTTGAGTGGGTTGACATATCTCTTATACTTGCATTCCATGGGTGGTGACGATCCATTTCTCTTGTTGACTTCATTTCGGTCCCACAATGCCACTCCATCTACGATCGCCCTTGTTAATTGCGACTGGCTATCGTAGGGCTATGAAGTAAACGGTGAAATAAAATGAAGAAATCAAAAAGAGAGGCCGGGAAAGTGACCAGCGATTGAGAAGGAATATCTCCTCAATTTTGTGGCGGTGCTTTTCTTCCTATGTTTTGTTACTTCCCCTTTTTTCTTTTTTTCTTTTTTACTCTTTTACTTTTTTTTAATTTTAACAATAAAAGCGACGAAATTCTCTTCCTTCCCCTCTCCGGCCATCCTTCGACAAGGCCTAGCACCCATGCGTAATTATATTACCGGCCGCGTAACAGAGGGCCGGAAACCGGGCGGGAGAGGGCATCTTTTTCGTCTGATTTTGAGTACAGTTGCGGACAATTAGACAGCGTCGCCTTTGCTTCTTGAGAGTACATTGTGAAGGATTGGGGCATTGCACCTCTCTAATGAAGGGACGTCGACGAGAGAGAGAACAACGGTGCAAGTGAACGCAAGAAAACGCGAGATGGGCCGGCTTGTTATTAAAAGGATTTCCAGACACTTCAACATAGATTAACTGCACATTGATTTCGGCCACTCTGCCACTGTGCCTCTCTGCTGTCATTTGCCTGTCGAGGCATCCATTCAACGAAAGACGTTTAATCGTGCCATTTCCGCCATCTACGTATGGCCCGTATCTGCTGTCTCCTCTGAGAATCGGTGTCATGGCCGCCCTCATATTCCCAAGTCTGCTTTCATGCGTCACCTAGATCCTTTGTACGGCGTAGTCAAGCCAACTGGCACAGCCATCCCATGCCGTCTTTTCACACGGCAGATACCCACTAACTCGGTTGTCCGTATTTCGCCTCGTCACAATTTGTTCAATGGCTCTTTCTCTTTCTTGTCTGATCAAACATTATCTATTCTTGTTTTTACGTTCCAGCATAGCACTGTATATACAATTCGACTTCTCAATCTCCATCAACCGCCCAACCAAACCGTTTCATGCCGCCTTGGACAGCTCAATCGCCTTGGCCGCCGCCTCGTCAAAACTGTCGTAGGCAAACAGCGGCAGCCCGCTCGTCCGTATAATCTCCTGGCCTTCGGCCTCGTTCGTGCCGCGGATGCGCACCACCACGGGCACCGCCACGTTGGTCTCCTTGAACGCCAGCAGCACGCCGCGCGCAATCATGTCGCCGAGCGTCAGCCCGCCAAAGACGTTGACAAAGATGACACGCACGCGCGGGTCCTGCAGCAGTACCTGGAAGCACGTCTTGACCGTCTCGCTCGTGGCCTTGCCGCCCGTGTCCAAAAAATTGGTGGCCTGCCCACCAAGGCCGGCGAGCGCGTCCACCGTGTTCATGGCCAGGCCGGCGCCGTTGACGAGCGTGCCAATCGTCGCCGGCGCGGCCGCCCCTTGTCGCCCTTGTTTGCTGTTGTCATTGTCATTGTTGTTGCTGTCGTCGTTGTCGTGGAGAGTCACGTAGACAATGCCGTCCTTCTTGGCCGCGGCTTCGCGCTCGTTGGCTTCCATGGGCGGCGTCACGGAGGCAAGCCGCAGCGTGGTCTCGTCGCCGGTGGCCTTGCGCTGGTTAAAGGCGACATCATCGAGCCCCAGGCGTGCATGCACAACCTTGACGTCGGCAAGCCGCGCCACGATAGCCGTTTCGACAAGGTATGCTTCCTGCTCGAGAAAGATGGCGTACAGCACGCGCAGCAGCTTGCGCAGGCTCTCGGTTTCGCTCGTCGAGGACGTGGTGTCGAGGCCAAGGTGGTCGGCAACACGGGCCGCGAGCAGGCCGTCGACGCCGGCGCGGTAGCCAAACGGGAAACGGCGGAGGTTTCTGATGCTCGAAACGCTGTCATTGTAGTTCGGAGCTGCCAGCACACACGGCATCTTGGACGAGCGGTCAATGGTAATGGCGAGGTAGCGCTGGGTGCCCTGGCCCGAGTAGGGCGCGGCGTTGACGCCCTCCTTGCGCAGCAAATCGAATGTGGCGTCTTGGCCAATGTAGATGGAGCGTTTTTGGGCGATGGTTTGCGACGGCCGCCGCAACATCAACCCCCTCTGAATCATAGGCCGCTTGCTGTTGCCGTTTCGGGACAGCGTCGATGTGTGCATGCTGCGGCGCTGGCTTGTCGGTCCCGCCTGCCCAAACAGGCTGCTGCTGTTGGCACCGCTGCCACTCGGGGAAAGAGCGTCCAGACGCGCCTTGACTGCCTGCCCAAACTTCTCCGGGTGGTCAATCACCGTCGCGCCTGCCCGCTCGAGCGCCTGGATCTTCTCCTGGGCCGTCGGCTCGCCGGGGAGCACAAAGGCACCTGCATGGCCCATGATGCGGCCCTCAACAGCAGCGTGTGTACCGCCAATCAACGCCACAATCGGCTTGGGCACAGCGCCCGCCGCCTGCGCCCGTTTCCTGTATGCCTCGATCCACGCGGCCGCCTCCAGCTCGCTCGTGCCGCCAATCTCTCCAATCAGCGCGATCGCGTCCGTTTCCGGGTCGTCGGCCAACACGGTCAGCGACTCGCGCAGATCCGTGCCCGCCACAATGTCGCCGCCCACGCCGATGCACAAGCTCTGACCCAGCCCCGCCCTTGTCGTCGAGGCCACCGCCTCATAACTCAGCGTGCCCGACTTGGCGGCAATGCCGACGCGCGTGCCGGGGCCCGACCCGGGCGAGAAGCATGGCAGCGGCTGGAACCCGATGCGGCAGGCGCCAACAGCCGAAATTATGCCGGGCGAGTTGGCGCCCACGAGCCGCGACTTGGACTGCGTCTTCAGCATGGCGTGGATGCGCAGCATGGCGTGCACGGGAATGTGCTCGGCCACGGCGACAACCAAGGGCACCTCCGCGGCAATGGCCTCTTCAATGGCCGCGGGCGCGAGCGGTGCCGGCACATAGATGCCTGTGGCGTCCGGCTTGAGCGTCTCGACGGCCGCGCAGACGCTGGGCAGCACGGGCAGCCCCAAGTGCTCGCCGGAGCGGCCCGGGGTCACACCGCCGACGATGTTGGTGCCCCAGGCGAGCGATTCGCGGGCATTGGCCGTGGCCTGGCGGCCAGTAAACCCCTGGAAGATGACGCGGGTATGGCGACCAATGCGGAGGTTGGGGAGAGTGGCATCGGTGGAGAGAGACGTGACGGGCGAGGGGGCCGTTAGGCTAGAGATGCTTGAGTAGCGGCGCAGGGACCGGCACACGACACACGGTCGGCCCAGTCGTGCTTGCCGGGAAAGCTGTGGGCGGACTGGAAGCATTTTGGAGACGATAACACGCAGCTTGAGAAAGTGAGCGTGAGGAGAGAATGTGCGGAGAGGGTGTATGTGGGTATGAGATGGAGGTCGCTCTGCGTAATATGAGCTGCGGACGACAGTGAGGGGAAGGAAACGAAAGTCAACATCAAACTCAAAATCAGTCCATAGATATTGACGAAAGGAAGGCAACCGCACAGAAGCCGAGGCTACTCCTCCTATATGATGACAACTGGGAATAATTGCAGGATGTTGAAAGTGACAGGCGCTGATATAGGCGACTAAGTGAACTGTGATGCACGGCTATTTACTACGGTATTTTTCGCTGGTATTTGCTTGTGGATGGCGCAATCAACATGAACTCGCCCGGACTGTGTTTCGGTGCAATGAGACGGACGGGCCTGAATATTGGCCAAAGAATAAGAGAAGCAAGAAAGAAGCATTGAAGCGAAACAGTCCACATCCAAAGGAAGTCCAAGAGGACCAGGCTGTCGCTCACAAAATGTCGTGTTCCATCTTGCCTTGCTAGTGGGGGCTGCTGCTGGTCGCCTAAATCCGTCACAGAATTGAGGGGAGAGTGGAGATGGAGGTGAGGTCGGCTACTCAACTCTCAGAGCGACACCGGCGACGATGGCGGCCCTTGTCCGAGGAGAACGGCAAGACTTGTCCTTACCGTGTAGTAAATCCAATGTCACGAGGCATCAATTGGCTTTGAGATGCATGAGTTTTGGGTGAGTACGGTGAGAAGAGTTGGACTTTTTTCGATTTTTATTATTCTGAAATGTTTTGCATATTTTGGCTTTGAAAATCACATGTCAAGGGCACGGAGAACACAACCTTTGTACCATTCCGCACCCACAGACAACTCACCATCGCAGCTCGCCTGGTGTGTTGGTCTCGTTCTTTGCCTTGCCGCCCTTGTCAGTGGCAGCCTTGTCGTCTTTTTCTTGGAATCCCAAGTTCTTGAAGTCGTCTTTCGCCATGAGATTTCTGGAAAGTTAGCCCGTCGTTTCGAGTGCGGTTAATTTTTTTTCTAATTATTTTTTTCTTCCACTGTGTCTCCTGCGACCGCCGCACTCACCTGTCCATCCGGCATCCCAGGTACGCCTTGGCCAGATTCCGGCACTCGTCTTCGTTGACGCCCTTTACTTTCTTCATGCAGCTGAGGTAGTCCATCATTACCCGCTTGCACTCGCCCTCGTGGTCCAAAGGAAAGCTGCCGCGTTGTGGCCTGAATCTGTTAGATCATTTTGTCCGCGAACTCGCATAATCGCATACGGTCCATATCGTATATCGTGGGTGTCAAACCATCTTACGGTGTCGGTTTCGTTGCGATGCTGCCGCCGCCCGGACTGCCAAAGGTGCTCATGGTGTCAAGTGTCAGATTCGGCCCTCGGCTCGAGGTAGGACGTACTGGGCAGTCCGTTTACTACCGGTCGTTTTATTCGTCGATACCCGTGGCCGCAAGCCTTTTGCCTCCCGTTGCTGTCGGTTCGGCCGTTGATTCTGAGATCAGGCTCGTTCGCAGGGAGCGGCCGTGTGTCAGCGCCGGTGAAAGGAGCACGCGATTAACGACAGAAGAAAATATAACAAGAAATCTGGGCCAATAGTAAGAGCCGGCCTCACATCCGTCGCCGATCGATTCTTTGCAAAGCGAGTTCAATCGATCATGCTCACCTTACAAAGGCGATTCGAAATGCACGAAAAGTCGAGCCAGGCGAAAGCGAACCATGCGGCTGGCCAATCAGCGTCTCGTATTTCTATTAGCAGTTTCGCTCTGCACCATGCTCAGCGTCCAAATCGCCCCTTCGTCATCGCCCGCATCGCGCTTGCCGTGGCGTCGGGCTGTCCGTCCAATGCTACAAGTGGTTCCAGCGGTTGTCCCTGCCGCATGAATTACCAATTGCTATTCGGCGAACGACAAACAGGTGCCCTGGTACGTCCTGTGTGCCTTCCCAATGCGCATTATAGCCCAATTTCCAGTTGCGCAGGGCAGGAGTGCATTGCGCTTAGATGCTGAATCAAGGGAGGCTCAAGGCAGGGACAAAGGGGCGGAGTGTTTGTGTCTTGCCCATTTAACAGGCACAAAGCAAGACCATTAAGTCAGCCACCCCTGTCTATACCTGCGCGCGGAAGGTGACATGCAGCGCGTCGTTCGCGTACTTTCCATCTGTAGAATGTGCGCCTGCATTTCTGTGTTGATTGAGCCCCAAATTGGGTCGTACTTTCCCATAGCGACCTGCAAACCTCTTGCCATTCCTGCAAGCATCTCGAACCTGCGAATTCCCCCTTTTCAACTGATTTGCAACCCGAATTTGGCTTCACTTTTGCAAAACGTGCAAAGGCACCAAAGACGACAACACTACAACGGCTAGGCCTCCCACACTTTTTGACATCCAACAACCCGTTTTCCCCTGGCCACACTATCGCCGCCCTCATCGTCATCCACTGTCAGAACCTATTTACTTGCTCCCGTCGGCCGCTGGGCTCTTTCGCACTGAAAGCTCCGGCACCATCTACACCCTCCACGACAAAGCCCCAAACGAGCAAAGAAAATCCAGACTACCCAAGCCAATCTACCACTGGCTGCTTATTTTCGCGCGTCTCTTGGGTCCATTTTCATCGCCTGGCTTTCGCCTCCTCCACCCGCAAGGCCCACCCCTTGTCCTCCTTGAGCTTAGCCCTGATCGCTCCGTCTAGCTTTTAGGCCCACTGCCTCTTCCCAGACGGAGTAGCTTGCAAAAACACACTGCCTGTTCTGGTCTTTTCGGCACTCTGGCTTTCCCTCTCGCTCCCTCGTGATAATTTTGTGTCTTCGTCATCGACGTACCTTCTACCTGTCATCACCGTGCTTCACGCCCTGCTATTCGCGCGACACTCTCTATCTGCTCGACGACATCGCTGAGCATTCTCTCTTGATCCTCCGCTCCCCCTCCCTCCACCTCCTCGACCGCGTGGTGGCACCTCGACACGAGGCTCCAGTTTCTCGGGCTGCACCTTGGCCGCCGAGGTTGAAGCATCTGTTGCGGTAGCGAATGTACGCGTCGTGATCTCGACACTTTCGTCAGCCTCTCTCCTCCTTTTGACACCACTTTCTCGACACCCCCTCTCTCTTCCTTCAAATCCAACAGCATGGCAGCCCTCGGCGACGAACTGCTGACCACGGTCAACAAGTTGCAAGACCTCGTCTTCAACACCATCGGCAACGATTCCCTCGATCTCCCACAAATTGTAAGCATTGATCCGCTCGCTGCACGTGCGCAACAAATCGAACCTGTCTTCTAACTCGCGCTTCTCTTCCTCCCCCTCCCCCAGGTCGTCGTTGGCTCCCAGTCCGCCGGCAAGTCCTCTGTCCTCGAAAACATTGTCGGTCGCGACTTTCTCCCTCGCGGCAGCGGCATCGTCACAAGGCGGCCACTCATCCTGCAACTGATCAACGTTCCCGAGGACGACGATGACTCTTCTGCCGCCGCGAAGCCCCGTGGCTACGATGCGCCCCGACGCAACGAATGGGCCGAATTCCATCACCTGCCGAACCGCCGCTTCAACGAATTCGAGGACGTCAAGCGCGAGATTGAGAACGAGACGAGCCGCGTCGCCGGCAACAACAAGGGCATCACGCGCCAGCCCATCAACCTCAAGATCTACTCGCCCGATGTCCTCAACCTAACCCTTGTCGATCTGCCTGGTCTGACCAAAGTGCCCATTGGCGACCAGCCCACCGACATTGAGAAGCAGACACGCAACCTCATCTCCGAGTACATTGCCAAGCCCAACAGCATCATCCTGGCCGTCTCCCCGGCCAACGTCGACATTGTCAACTCCGAGGCCCTCAAGCTCGCCCGCCATGTCGACCCGCTCGGTCGCCGCACAATCGGTGTCCTGACCAAGGTCGACCTGATGGACCACGGCACCAACGCGCTCGACATCCTGTCGGGCCGTGTCTACCCGCTCAAGCTCGGCTGGATCGGCGTTGTCAACCGGTCGCAGCAGGACATCCAGGGCAACAAGCCCATGGAGGAGGCACTCAAGGCCGAGACCGACTTCTTCAAGCACCACCCGGCCTACCGCAACATCTCCACGCGTTGCGGCACCTCGTACCTGGCCAAGACGCTCAACGGCACACTAATGACCCACATCCGCGATCGCCTGCCCGACATCAAGGCCCGCCTCAACACCCTTATGGGCCAGACCCAGCAGGAGCTGGCCAGCTACGGTGACATGCATTTTAGCGGCAAGGAGCACCGTGGCTCACTTATCCTGCAGCTCATGACCCGCTTTGCCACGTCTTTCATCTCTTCCATCGATGGTACCTCCACGGAGATCTCCACCAAGGAGCTGTGCGGTGGTGCCCGCATTTACTACATCTTCAACTCCGTCTTTGGCAGCTCCCTCGAGTCGATCGACCCCACCTCCAACCTGTCCGCCCTCGACATCCGGACCGCCATCCGCAACTCCACCGGCCCGCGGCCCAGTCTCTTCGTCCCCGAGATGGCCTTTGACCTGCTCGTCAAGCCCCAGATCAAGCTGCTCGAGATCCCTAGCCAGCGGTGCGTCGAGCTCGTGTACGAGGAGCTCATCAAGATCTGCCACACCTGCGGGTCCACGGAACTGAGCCGTTTCCCGCGCCTGCAGGCCAAGCTGATCGAGGTCGTCTCTGATCTGCTGCGTGAGCGTCTCGGCCCCGCGTCCAACTACGTCGAGTCGCTCATTTCGATCCAGCGCGCCTACATCAACACGAACCACCCCAACTTTCTCGGTGCCGCCGCCGCCATGAGCCACGTCGTCAACGAGAAGCAGGAGCGCGAGCGCAAGCGACTGATCCAGGAAGAGCGCGATCGCCGCGAGCGCCGCCGCCTCAAGGAGATTGGTGCTGCCAACGGCACTGGCGCCAACGGTGTGGCCGGTGGTGCTGCCGGTACGGAGACACCCGAGGAGGTCGACGAGGACAACCTGAGCGTCACCGGCGGTGCCGGTGCGACCACCACGGCTCTACGCAAGGTGGCCAAGGGCGGCCGCAGCTCGTCCATAGCGCGGGAAAACGGCGCCGGCCGGCCGGGTTCGCCGACGCGCTTCAACCAGCCCGCCATCAACAACGCCAAGGACTCGTTTCTCAATTACTTCTTTGGCAAGGACGGCAGCGCCATCGGCGGCACCGGCCCCAGCGGCCACCACCACAATGCGAACATTGGCCGCCACGTGAGCCAGACTTCCGAGCCTACCTTTAGCCAGAGCATGCGCCGCCCCGACGACCGGCCGTTGCGGTCGCCCATTGGTGCCGGCAACGACGAATACGGCCGTTCGACTGGCCACCCTGGCGCGCTCGGTGCGGGCGGCAGCATGGATCTCTTTGGCGCGAACGGCACCGGTGGCGAACCCGCGCTGACGGACCGCGAGGCCATGGAGACGGAACTGATCCGTGCGCTCATCTCGTCGTACTTTAACATTGTGCGCGAGTCCATTGCCGACCAAGTGCCCAAGGCCATCATGCACCTGCTGGTCAACCACTGCAAGGACGTGGTGCAGAACCGCCTCGTCAGCGAGCTCTACAAGGAGATGCTCTTTGAGGAGCTTCTGTACGAGGACGACGGCGTCAAGAAGGAGCGTGAGAAGTGCGAGCGCCTGCTGGAGACATACAAGGAGGCTGCCAAGATCATTGGCGAGGTGGTATAAAATATACACCCAAGTTTATATATTGCGAGAAAGAAGAGAGGAAAAAAATGGAATAAGAAAGGAGGCGCTTTCTGTATCTTTACGTGCCGATTTGACTTTACGTTGGGTTTTCTTTTGTTGCAAAGTTTTCTTATTGGATTCTATTTCTGTCTTGTCGGACGACACTCGGCTCTATTGTTTATTGTTTTTGCCGTTTTACTCATACACATGTCTTGTAACACCACTTCCTCAACTTCACCTATCATGTCTATTCCTCAGATCCCTACACATTATCTCCTATCAATTCTCCCGCTCACGTCCTAATCTCATCACCCGTCATCTACATAGAACGATACTATCTCGACGAATATAGTACAATACTACAAATAAAGGCACTCTGTCACATATGTGGATTGAAGTTACTAAAATTGTTCTGATTTTATTCTGTTTTTGTTTTCCGTTATTTATATCGTATGTTCCAGCTGTGCCAAATCAATATCTCGTGATATGGTGTCAACGAAGTGTCCCTCCCAAGAAGCGAAAAAAAATTGAATGCCCAGGACAAAGTCAGACGACTGCTCATCTTGGCGGATTGCTACCATATTAGGGACCTACTGCAAAGCCATAACCGCTGGCCATGGTGAACCGGCCCGGCATATGCACCATACTGGTCTCGTATCCTGAGGCTGAGCCGCACATCTGCCAGTTCTAGTGGTACTGTATCTGACTCGGTGCCCTCTGCATCGCCCCTCCACTCGATGGGTTGTGCGGGTCATACTCGTCATAATAGGCCGGGTTTGACCGTGCCACCGAGTGGTGTGGTACTGCTTCTGGTCCTTCGCCCACAACGCGTCGTTCGTACGCCAGGTTTCCGGCACCGTAGGATTCGGACTGTGCGCCGTAGCCTGATCCGCGGTAGCTTTCAGTGTGATCGTGTCGCACAATGCCACCAGCATCCCTTCCGCCGACACCATCATACGGTACGGGTGCAGGGGTGACTGTCGAGGACGGATAGTGGCGCCCAGAACCCCTCTGGCCAGCAGGCGGTGCCTCCCGTCGCACCGGACGTCTGACCAGGTACTCGCCTTCTGGTCCAGTAACCTGCACGACTTCGTAAGTTTCGTATGAGTCATAGTCTGCTGGTCGGTAGGCCACCTCCGCACGACCCGCCCTATCGGCATAGTCTAAATAGTGCTCTTGGCGTGGCTGGGCGCGGGCATAATGATGGTGCGGTCCAGGCAGCGCACCACGTTCATACGCGTCCTCGTAGCCCATGGGGAATCCGGAATACACTGGCTCGTCGGCGTATCGTCGCGCTAGGGGTGGGCTGCGGTTCCAGTACTGCCCAGTAGGGGCACGAGATGGTGGACCGTAGCTGCCTTGGTTTGCAGGAGGTGATCGTGCCTGTCTCTGATACGGCTCGCCACTCTCAACCGCAACATATCGACCATACCGCTCGCCGTCGCGAGGGTGATCGCGGCCACCACGATACAAGTCGCGTTGGTCGGCGCGTCTCGGAACGACTTCGCGGCCGTACTCGTCAACGTACACCACACGGGCTAGGGGATGAACAGGCGGTGGCGGCTCTCTTGCTGCCGACGTACGGGTGAATGGCTTACCATCCAAGTGCGCCTCAAGTGCCCCCAATAAATCCTGCTTGCCTTCTGGTGCGGCAGGAACACGTACGGGTAGTGGAACATGGTTATGTTCTTGCACTTCTTCCTTGATAGTAATTGCAGGCTTCTCTGCTAGATTCTCCACTGAATTTTTTGCAGGTTTTCCCACAGGTTGACTACCATTTCCCCTTTCGTGCGCCTTTTGGGATTTCGGCTTAAGATTGACGTCCGGCACTCGATTTTCGCGAGGCAGGACAACACTTGTTGAAGTCTTCGATAGACGTGAAGGTCCGGTCGCTTTCGGTCTTGCAGCGCCATCTGCATGTCTCCAAGTAAGGCCGCCGTTCTCCGTATGCGCGGCTGCAGGTTCTGGGTTTGGTTTCTGCGCTTCAGATTCCGTGACGCTGTCCTGTTGATGGTTAATAGCATCTTGGATTGCTTCAGCCAGGACAAGCCGGATGGTCTTTCCACGCGGTGCCTTGGCCATATTAGCGAGTTCATGCTTGGGAGGAAGGGCCAGCATCTCAGTCAACCAGTTACGAGGCAGATTGGCCGCATTTGGATTCACATTGAATGGGTTCGACCATTTTGTCCGACCCTCAATGTGTGCTTGAGAAAAATGCGTCATAAGTTCCGCAAATGTGAACAAAATCTGTTCTTTCTTGTTGTGCTGCACAGGGTCAAGGCCTCTAGTACAGGCGAAACAGCGCAGTTTCTGAATGATGCCAATGGGTGCCATACCCACGGACTTCAAGATTCTATCTTTGAAGAGGGTCAATGGCAACTGTGCGCCAAACATTTGATGGTAGTGTTTGTTTGCATGAAAGAGTAAAGTCTGGATTCTGACAACATCAGGGATGCGAGGGAGAGGCAGCAGATCCTTCCACAGTACACGTGCGTATCGTACAAGCTCATCAAGCCGTTCTTGGTAGGGCGATTTCGGAGCTTGGTCAACCGGATTGGACGGGACCACAGCAGAAGAATGGGCCTGATAAGGCTCTTTCGAGATGAAGGGGTTCAAAGCTTGATGTTCCGGGGGAACAACTGGTCCCGGAGCCTCAAAAACAGAAGGCTGTGCTGGCGGTCCAGTGGAGAAAGAACGAGCATCTTGATTCGCTCCTCCAGCGAGTGGTTCATAAGATGCACGCTGGTAGACCGGCGGCGGTTGGAACGAACCTGGCCCCGTCCGTTGTCCGACTGGGTTGTGGTACGAGGGAGCGCCAAAAGAGAAACCACCTTGTTGCGAATTAGGACCAAAGGACGGTCCACTGTAGAGACTACCGTCATCTGGATTGGCCTGCATATGGAATTGCGTCGGTTGGACATGACTAGACTGGAGTTGTGATGGTGGCGGCGGGAATTGAGTCGCCGATCCTTGGTAGTGCAGAGTCTGTGCAGCACCAAATTGTTGATGGTCCTTGCCAGAGCGCTTAGCCGCCGGGCCGGGGCCTCGCTGATTTGGAAGCTTTGCTGTCGGAGATTGAGGTAGTGGCACCGGCAAACCTGTGCCCTTAGCAGTGCGAGGATTTGGCCGGAACGGGGGGTCCTCTGGCCACTCGGCCCTCCAGTAAACAACGATATTGCCAACACTAAGGATATTCGTGTGCTTCGCTGCGTAGTGCTGAATGGCGCCCTCAAAACCGAAGAATTTCATGCTTGCATCGCAAACAGGGCAAAGGAACAAATCGGTGCGAAATTTGGACGTGATCGGCTTGACTTTGACGTCAAACACGTACTTCAGATTCTCCAATGTGAGCTTTTGGGTGAACGGTCCGCCAACAGGGTCAACGGTCGGCTCTCGACCGAACGCCCGTGCCGCCTTTGCGTCGTTTTCGACTTCCGTGTAGAACCGTTTTCGTACATGAAGCAGGACATCGGCAGCAAACGCCGGAGCATTGTCTTTCGTCACCTTATCACCATCGTCCCAGTCACCAATGATTGCTTCGTCAGCGTATCGAAGGATCTTGAGTCGGACAGGACCTTGTATCAGATCCCATTCAGCGTCAATTTCTTCGGACGTCTTTTCTTTTTTGGCCGGTGGATCGGGAGGCTTTGCCACACAAGTCGAAACCAGCTTTTGTCCTTCGACAGCCGTGGCAGACGCGGGCATAATATTTCCCTCTGGATCTTGATCTTGTTAGAAGAAGGAGAGGCAATTGGAATGTAGTTCGTTTAAACTTACTTTTAATTGGGGGTTGTGTGAGCTCAGTACGTTGAGTCGGCTCCAGAACAGTAGGAGGCTGGCCCTTGACATCTGGATGCAGAAGCATTCTCATGTTGGCAACACCACCAGAGTCGTCATACTTTTCCCATTTTGCGATATTGACTCGTTGGTCAGAGCCTCGTTTCGATAAGCCTTTCTGCCATTCCTCTGCTGCAGGAGCACCGATCTCTCTCACCGACGCAAACTCCTCGCGTAGGCTCTCAACGTCAGACGCCCAAAACAACTTTGTCAATGTTGACGAAGCCGGAAGCTGGCCTCGTTCTATAACGTGAAGTGGGACAACACAGGCTAGTGAGGTGACAAACACAAATTGAAGGGCTGGAATGAGGAACGTTGAACCAGCCGACAAAACCAAGTCCATTTCCTGTGTGGCGAGGGTTAGTTGATCGGGAAACACAAAGAAGCACGAGAGAACCGAACGTCTATCCAGAATGATGGCGATGGACGAATGTACCTACCGTTACCGTCCTTTTGGACAGACAAAACCCGCAGCAACGAACTCGGAACTCCCAGACACGGGCCACACCATCGAGGCCTGGTCCGCGAAGAGGGTCCGTCGCAGGAAACGTGCGTCGCGTGTCCCGCTTGCCACAAAACTGGCAGGTCGATGAGCAGGCAAGACGCCACATGTCCAGCTCCGTCTTTTCCTTCAAAGGGGCAGGCATGTTTGGCCAAAAGGTGCGTCGTGCATTGCGCCAAATATCATTTGGCTTTATGGCTTTGACGACAGACTTGGCCAGCGGTGGTGGACGCTTTTCCACCACGACAGGCGAAGCCGGATCTAGGTAGGCGTTGAACAATTTGTTGACCATCAACAAATTCCCCAACGTCCTAGGGGGGCAGAAGGAAAAGATGTGGTGCCAAATCTCAGTGGGCAGGAGTGATCTATCCGTGGAAAAGCGGTTGGATTCGTCCAGCCTCGGCTTTTTTGACTGAGCAGCCAGTCCGTTCGTGGCATTCAAGACTGCCTCTGCATCTGAAAACGCATCGTCGCCAGTGATTTTGCGTTTTTTCGAGGCAGACATGTCTTCCTGTTGGTTGTTTTGGTGCTTGGTATCGCCATCCATCGCGACCTCAGGAGCACTCGAAGAAGGCGGTGATGCGGCCGTGGTCCGTAGAGTGGCCGTGATATGGGACGTAAACAAACGCAAGAGAGAAACGCAAACTGTCCAAAGGACGAGAACAGAAGTGGTAACAGAAAGGAATCAAAATACAGGAAACGGCTAGGATGACGACGCGTGGAGAAGGTATCATAAAATCCAAATGCGGAAGCCGCGATCCAATATCCGCTAACAAAAACAGAGAAGGAACGACCCGCCTTTGTTTGGGACGACAAACTGGCCAGATATAGGGAAATCCAAATATAAATCAAACGATGGAGACTCGCAATGCGAAATGCGTGTCGACAGGGGCAAGTCAACACTCGTCAACTCCCAGATCAAGCTGGGGAACTGGCTACGAAGCACCACGAGCCCGCCGCGCCCTCCGAACAGCGACAGGAGCAGGACAATAGAGAACTCTCTCTACGGCCTATTTCCGAGGTAAATTCGGTGCATATAGATAGACTATCGTGGCTGGCGACGGAACTGTATGGTGTATTCGCATGACAGCATCGGCACCGAAAAGACATGCCAAATGTCGACGAGGAAAGGGTGAAGTCTGTGAAATGTCAACGAAACAAAACTAGCTGAAGCTGGACAAAGAGTCGGGTATCGGCGTCGACCGTGGCGTGAAATAAACGTCGATTTTGCATATGATATACGATCAATGCGTTCTCGCAAAGAATCTCCTGGCAAAGTGAATTTGATGCCAAGATGTAATTACGACTTGCGAATCCGCGAGCATACTTCGTAACCTTTGGTTGGTTTTTATATGCGGGGCTATATTTTTCCGATCCGGCTGACACGCCAAGCCTTTGCTGTGGAGTGTGGAATCAGTGACGATGACGCAGGCGACAACTGTGGGTCCACCCGGACTGTTAGCGGGCAGCTGCCCATTGCTCCTGCTGCGCCTAGCTCACCCATCTTCGTCAGATGTTCTGTCACAGCACTCAACACTTGCACCTTTCCTTTGCATCGCATCGCCTTTGTCGCGTCTCCCGCTTCTTTGTCCTGACTGTGAACTCTGCGCGGTTTCGCTTTTGATACGTTGCTGTGCGACCGAGCCTTGGCGCATCACACGACCAAACAACCCAGCCACGCCAAATACCCACTCACTGGAATCGACAAACTAGCTCACTAACAGCTCCGAACACATTGTTGCAGCAGAGTCAACAGCCTTGTATGCGTGCAGAGCCTCGCTTGATAGCATGACAAGGCTCTCGCGAGCCGTCGCTGTAGGCGGCAGTTGCGCGCTGCTCCTCCTAGTCGGCCTGGGAGAAGCGGCGGCGACCGTCACCGGACTCACAGCAAGGCACGAGGCGGGCCGATGTGCCATCCGTGGACAGTGTGGAAAGCGGAGTATATTCGGGGCCGATCTGCCGTGTGTGGACAACGGCCTTGCGACCGAGCCTGATGAAGAGCTGCGGGATCAGCTCGTCGACCTGTGTGGGCCCAAGTGGAAGTCCGGGCCGGTGTGCTGCGATGGCGAGCAAGTACGTTGACAGGAGCATTTTGTCTCTTGGCCGTTGAACACCCATTCTGACCATGACTTGTCCCCCTCTAGGTAAAAGCACTCAAAGACAACCTCGCCACGGCGAACCAGCTCGTCTCTTCCTGCCCTGCCTGCAAGGAAAACTTCTACAACCTCTTCTGCTCGTTCACCTGCTCGCCCGACCAATCGCTCTTTATCAACGTGACCGACGCCGCCGAGAAGAACGGAAAGCTTCTCGTCACCAAGCTCGATCAGCTTGTGTCTGAAGAATACGGTGCCGGCTTCTACGACAGCTGCAAGGAGGTCAAGTTTGGCCCGACCAACTCCAAGGCCATGGCGCTGATCGGCGGCGGCGCCAAGAACTACACGGAATTCCTCACCTTCCTGGGCAAGCAGCGCCTCGGCGGCTCGCCCTTCCAGATGAACTTTCCCCTCGCGTACCCCGAACCGGACATGTCGCCGCGCCAATCGGTCCCGAAGAAGTGCAACGACGAAGACCCCAACTTCCGCTGTGCCTGCGTGGACTGCCCGGCCGTGTGCCCCGAGCTGCCCGCCCTCAAAAAGTCGACAGAGTGCCATGTGGGCCTCCTCCCGTGCTTGTCGTTTGCTTCGATTCTCACATACTCGGTGCTGGCGGCACTCGTCCTTGTCTGGGCCGGCCTGCGCTTCTGGTACAAGCAGAACCGGAGCCAGGGCCTGCCCCTGCTGCACGACCCCCATGGCGACGCCGACGACGAAGATGACGTCGAAGACGACGAGCACCACGCATTTCTCTATGGGTTTATCCGTAGGTCGACCTCGGACGTCGTGGCCGCCGAAGACGCGCCGACCGACTACATCTTGAACATCTGGTGCAACAAGGTCTTCCGGAAGCTGGGCCACTGGGCGGCCAGATTCCCCGGTCTCAGCATTGGATGCAGCTTGTTCGTTGCGACCGTGCTGAGCCTCGGCCTCTTCCGCTTCAAGCTGGAGCTCGATCCAGCGCGGCTGTGGGTCAGCCCGACGTCTGCTGCGGCGCAGGAGAAGGCCTTCTTCGACACGAACTTCGGGCCATTTTACCGTGCCGAGCAGGCCTTCTTGGTCAACGACACCCTCCCCTCTGGACCTGGCCCTGTCCTCAGCCAGGACACCCTTCAGTGGTGGATGGGCGTGGAGAAGAGCATCCGGGAGCTCAAGGGACAAGAGTACGGCGTGACTCTTGACGACGTCTGCCTCAAGCCGGCCGGTTCTGCCTGTGTCGTGCAGTCCGTCGCGACCTACTTTGGAAACGAGCCGTCGCTTGTCGACAAATACTGGAAGCAGACAGTCCGGTCGTGCGCACAGCGTCCAGTCGAATGCCGCGCCGACTACGGCCAGCCCCTCGATCCCGAGTCGATCCTAGGACAGTTCCCGGATGCCGCGCACGCTGACGAAGCCGCCGGCATGACGGTTACCTGGGTCGTCAACAATTATGCCGAAGATACGCCCGAGGTGAAACGGGCCATGGACTGGGAGCAGGCATTGAAGAAGCGCCTTCTCGACGTGCAGACAGAGGCTTCGTCCCGTGGCCTCCGCCTGTCGTTTTCGACCGAAATCAGCCTAGAGGAGGAGCTCAACAAGTCGACAAATACCGACGCCAAGATTATCATTATCAGCTATGTCATCATGTTCCTGTACGCATCGATCGCGCTTGGGTCGACCACGCTCTCCCTTGGCGACCTGTTTCGCCATTTTGGTGTGTTCCTGGTCGAGTCCAAGTTCGGTCTCGGCTTTATTGGCGTCCTGATTGTCGTTCTGTCCATCACCGCGTCCATTGGTCTGTTCTCCTGGGCCGGCCTGAAGGCGACACTGATTATCGTCGATGTCATCCCATTCATTGTCCTCGCTGTCGGTGTGGATAACATTTTCTTAATTGTTCACGAGTTTGAGCGTGTCAATATCAGCCACCGGGACCAAGAGGTTGCACACCGCGTAGCCCTGGCCTTGGGCCGCATGGGCCCGTCCATCCTCTTCTCGGCGATTACGGAGACGGCGTCGTTTGCGCTCGGTGCGTTTGTTGGCATGCCTGCTGTCCGCAACTTTGCCATCTACGCAGCTGGTGCCGTCTTCATCAACGCCATCCTGCAGGTGACTGGTTTCGTGTCCGTTTTGGCCCTGAACCAGATTCGCGTCGAGGAGAACCGTGCCGATATCCTGTTCTGCATCCCAGTGAAATCCGCGCGGGTTCACCTCAACGAGGAGTACGCCGGCCGGTACAACGACTCAAACGGCTACAGCGACGATCTGTCCCGGGAGAGCGTGCTGCAGCGGTTCATCCGCCAGCGTTATGCGCCTATACTGTTGAAGAAGAGCGTCAAGGCAGGTGTTTTGATTTTCTTCACGGGCCTGTTTGCTGCGGGCATTGCCCTTCTCCCCTACGTCGAGCTTGGCCTCGACCAGCGGGTTGCGATCCCCGACGACTCCTACCTCATCCCCTACTTTAACGATTTGTACGACTACTTCGAGTCTGGCCCCCCGGTCTATTTTGTGACAAAGGACCTCAATGCGACGCAGCGTCCGCACCAGCAGGAGCTCTGCTCGCGCTTCCCATCGTGCCAGCTTACGTCCCTGACGGGCATTCTCGAGCAAGAGCGCAAGCGGTCCAACGTGTCCTACATTGCGTCGCCCGCGGCCAGCTGGATTGACGACTTTTTCTTGTGGCTCAACCCCGACTTTGAGAGCTGCTGTGTCGAGCATGGCAAGCCGTGTTTCGCTGGCCGTACCCCGCCTTGGAACGTGACACTCTCCGGCATGCCAGAAGGCGACGAGTTTGTGCACTACCTCGAGAAGTTTATCAACGCGCCAACCACCGAAGACTGCCCTCTCGGCGGCCAAGCGACGTACGGTCAGGCGCTGGTCATTGACGCGGAGCATAGCACGCTGCCTGCCACGCACTTCCGCACGATGCACATGCCACTCCGCAGCCAGGACGACTTCATCCAGGCCTATGCCTCGGCACGGCGGGTGGCCTCGGACATTACGGCGTCCACGGGCGTCGAGGTGTTCCCCTACAGCGTGTTCTACGTCTTCTTTGACCAGTATGCAACGATCGTGTCGCTTTCGGCGACGCTGCTGGGCTCGGCCATGGCCATCATCTTTGCCGTTTCTTGGCTCATCCTCGGCTCCTTTATGACAGCCGCCGTCGTCGCGTGCACGGTGGCCATGACCATCTGCGACATTGTCGGCGCCATGGCCGTCATGGGCGTGTCGCTCAATGCCGTGTCCCTGGTCAACCTGGTCATTTGCGTGGGCATCTCGGTCGAGTTCTGTGCCCACATTGCACGGGCCTTCACGTTCCCGTCGGGTCTCCTCCGCCACAACGCGCGCACACGCTTCCCGGATGCGCGCGCGCAGCGCGCCTGGGCGGCCCTCGTCAACGTGGGCGGCTCCGTGTTCTCGGGCATCACGCTCACCAAGCTGCTCGGCGTTACTGTGCTTGCCTTTACGCGCAGCAAGATCTTTGAGATCTACTACTTCCGCGTCTGGGTGGCGCTCGTCGCCTTTGCCTCGACGCACGCGTTAATCTTCCTGCCCGTTGCGCTGAGCGTCGCGGGCGGCCGCGAGTACCTCGACGCTGACGGTGAGGGCGGTCTGCCAGCCGACCTGGCCAGCCGCCTGCGCGACGCCGAGGACACGTCGGATGACGAGGATGGACTGTTGTAGAGCGAGCAGCCTCTCCCTGCTCGACGGTTTGCCGTCCGCAGCCTTTCACGGCCTGGTCTTCACCAGTACAGACTGGTCCAGTATCGAATACCACTACTACGGTTTCGGAGCCAGCTATAGTACGAGTGACAATGCCCACGATCTCATGGCGACGAGTACACCAGTCGAACAATCAACAGAAGGCGGCGTCAGCTAGGAACCGGACGGCCGGCTACCAGCAGGCGGACGACAGCAGCAACGAGGCCTAGCCAACCATCCGCTGCGGCGGCTCCGAGTCAAGGCAAGGCAGCAGCCGAGCAACGGATCCAACTATCGCCTCATGTGCCGCCTGCCGCCGATTGACGAGCGCGCCGAAGCCGAGACTGACGCAATGTATATTTAACATGTTTTGTATTGGAGTGCTTCGCGGCGTTTTTTTGTTTTTTTGACTTCATCCTTGCATAATACGAAGAGAAGGTGACACCACAGATGGTATGCGAAAGACTGTAGAGAGCGAGCTGCATGGTTTTTGTCTTTTGTTCCCTTGTATTTGTCTTCTTTTTGTTGCTTTATGCAAGGCACAGCGACATATTTCACGCCTTGACGAGGCCTCTCTCCTTTCTTTCTTTATTTCTTACGGTTTCTAAATATTGCTGTAATAAGCCAACATTTTCGCACCTCGATATCAACAGACATTTTAAGTGCCTCCATCCCGCATTGATATTACTTTTTGGTGCGCCTTTGCAGAGTACTGGTAAAAACTTCATCGTCGCAGTTCAGCTCTTCCTCTTATTCGCCCGTCACAACCAAGCTGTTGTCTTCGTTGCGCCTTCCTGTTCCGATGGGGCCAATCACCGACAACCGAGTAACCACCTCTAACTTGCTCCTGCCCGTTATGATGGAATTGTGTTGTTTATATATGTGCTTTCACCGGGCGGCCCGGAAGGTGCTTCCAAGTTGCTCTTGCAGGATGGTCCGCTGGTTCGCTCGCGCCTTCCTAAATCTACAAATGCGACCATAATTCTGAACCACCCTGTGCGTGTCAACAGTCGTGGTTTCCTTTTGAGTTAAGTGCCGAAGAAGAAGGAAGGTTGCCCACCTTCCCGCCACGACCCATCTGTGTTCTTGCTTCTCAACGCCTTCTCTGTTTCTATGGTCTGACCATTTGCCCATTTTTTTATGTTTCCCCTTTTCTCGGATGGTCTGCCCACTTTCGTATCTCTCTGACATGCCCTCTTTGCGACTGACACAGAACAACGTCAGATTCCACTGCAACTGCAGTCCGTCCCGCGTAGCGGGATATTCGGCATTTCGCTTTTTGCACGAACCCTTCGTTCAGCCGCCGTCATTCGCTTCTTTTTGGGCGCGAACATGTCCACATCATGCGAGATCTCGAAAAGACAAGTGAGACACAAAGGCACGAGGTGGAATTCGACAAATCCACCGATCTTCTCCTAGAGACGCTAACAAGCCTGCGTAGCGCGAAGCCCACAAACCCACCAAAATAACAAAGCCAGGCGGCTCTCCAAACCGGGCTGATGTCGCCGACGCCCCCTGGAGAAAGGAACGGACAAGGAAGGATGGAAAGCCTCGCCCAACGGACAACACAACAGCCTGCAAAATACACCGCTTTGGACAAAGGGACAGGACCTGTCCAGACACCCCCGGCCAGGCTGGTAGAGCATCGCTGCAGTTACAGACTGTCACGACACACAAGCATCACTAGGAGCATATTTACGCCGCGAAAATGCGACTCTGCCAGGAAGTAAGTTGTTCTAAGGACCTCCTCACAGGAAGCCGGCCAGCCTGAAAAGTCCTTCAATATTGAAGAGGGTGGGAGGCGCTGGTCCCGGGGCGGCAGAGGAGAGGCAGGCCCAGCTCCAGGTCACGGCATCAGGAGATGACGAAAGCCAATCCACCGCACAGCGAGCCAGATGGTCGGGCCATCGGGTGAGTGTGGATGCGATCAGTCCAGACTAAATATCGGATATACTCTTTAGGTTGATATGGTTCCCTGACAAGAATGAGGCAGCACAGCCAGAGAGGTTGTAACAATGCTGCCCACTAGCTCCAGAGCCTCGACTGGAACCATGGCTGTTCCGTAAGCGCTTCAGTCTTCCTCTGAACAGTACACAGTAAACATATCAGAAAAAGAATACGAAACCCCAGGCAGAGGTGGAAAGGTTATATTTGGGATCCAAAAACCATCGCCAGCCCTTTCTTGCAGATTGAGGCGGCACAACGGATCGCAGCCAAGACTGCTACATGACAAGGAGGTGATTTCGAATGCTGTATCATGGCACATATTGCTGCGGTAAGCCATAACACACAATTGTTTTTGCACCTATTGCCCATTCGGCGTAGCCGCCGCGAATAAAAAAAGCAGCATTTGTTTTTTCGCATTATTGACTGCACACACTGATAAGAATGGAATAGGACAAATACGAAGAATGCGGAAGAAATCCAAGAAATCACGTTTCCTTTTGTTCGCCTGAGTGCACGAGGCGTTCCTTTTGGCTATCGTGCCGTTTATTGGATCTTGCATCTGCCGATGGTTCTCTTACACGCACCTTCTCCACTCAACCCACTTGTGGCCACCGGCGAAGCTTGCCAACCCTTTTCTGTCCATTTCCCCTCAGTTGACAGCCCATCAATTCCCCTCCTCCGCTTAGCTCGTGGGTTCGTCCGTTGATACGTTTGCACCCCAACCCGTCGACAGACTCGCAGGATGACAGAGTGGGAAACCCCCGGATATTTCGCCCGACTTCCCTGGCGTCCGTTCAACAGCAGACAGCTGCCACAGCACGGGTCCTAGCATTCTCCCGCTCGGAGGCCATGCCCGTCTCGTGCACCAAGGGAACGTTTCTCCAGACTTTAGCATTGAGCCATCCCCAGATGCTTTGTGTCTTATTGAGCGATGATCCTGACGCCTAACGTGAACAAAGCCCGCTGGAAATAGCGGCAATACGGGTGGCAGTCATGCAACAAAAATGCTGCGTGGTGCGGGAAGCATGCTGGTTTTGACCCACGAGGTCTGGCTTTGTGTTAAGCTCAGTTTTCTGCTCTATTCCACCTGCCGAGCTCCCCTTTCCCCTCTCTCCACAGCCCAGTCATCTAAATTCGCACCCGGCATCCCCGCCAGTCGCTTGCTCCTCACGTCCAAATGGCATAGGACTACTTGTCTGCATCGGCTGCCGGTGGTTGAATTGAGGTACTCCCGCGAATATGAGTGGAGTAACAACAACGTTGAAGGCGATGTGGAGGCAAAATCACCAAATACCAGGAACCCCTGGCAGCACGGCAGACGTGATAAAGCTGGGCGAAATGCTTCGCGCCGTGCCCCGGTGCTCCCTCTGAAGCGAAACCAAAGTGACTCCCGTATCCTTATTCGATTTGTGTTGTATCATCCCGGGTCCCTGTTCCTCGTCGTTCCAACCAGGAAAAGCTTTATTGCTTCGCGGCAAAGACAACGCGCCGTCAGCAGGCATATAATTATCCCCTCAGCACCCAGCTTCTTGAACGCAACGGCTGCACACCGATCTCGACCTCCAGAAAGACACGCTACGGCGTTATACTACCTCCCTTGAAATACGATAAGCACCACCTGCCGAGACCAGAGTATTTACATGCCCTCCATAAAGGCATTCCCCTCCTCCTGGATCTAGTATATGACACGGTAGGTTTTATGTTTTACCTTGCTCACCTCCTCTTAATTAATGTAACTGTTGTTATTGTTTTGTCAGTGTGCCCCCATATACACCACTCTTGTCCTTTACCTGCGTTTTGTTACCCCATCCACATACGCTTTGCCCTCTCCCGGGTCTCCTGGTGTTACATAAACCTCGTGCCTACTTTCATACTTTCATAATCTACTCGAAAATCACTCGCTCTCCTTTCTATATCCTTGACAACAGAACTGAGGATATTTCACCAGCTTGGGAAGATCACATTCTCTTGGAATCCATCGTGTCTTTTCAGTCTGCAGCCTGTCTAACACCTGATCTTATTGACGCCAGCCTCGCGATCTTCATCAAACCGACATAGTTTTTCAGCCGAGCAAAATACCCGCTGAAGACGAGCACACGACAGATTGCAACAAGAAAACAAAACCTGTCTTAACAGGGGAGACCCGTAGCGGCCACGTCCTAGGAGGCACCGCAACAGAGACGGAACAAAGTTTGCAAAGATGCAAGGCGTTGCCGGCCAGCTCCTGGCCTTCCTCCTCGACCACTGGGTGTCCGTCGTCGTCGCCTCGGTCTTGGCATATCTAGCCAACAACCGTTACGGGCAGGGCATCAACAAGTATCCTGGCCCTTTCTTGGCGTCATTGACAGACTGGTGGCGATTCTACGATGTGTACAAACAGCGACCAGAACGGACACAACGGCGCCTCCACGACAAGCTCGGTCCCGTTGTCCGCCTAGGACCCAACACTCTTACGTTTTCCGATCCCAAAGCGCTCAAGACCATTTATGGCCTGAACAAGGGATTTATAAAGGCACGTTGCGCGATCTCTGCGGCTACACAGCATTGATGCGACATTGGGCCGTATCCCCTGCCTTTGTGCAACGTCTTGTCACTAACACCTGTGTAGTCAGACTTTTATCTCCCGCAACAATCTGTCGTCAATGGCCACAGGCTTGCCAGTCTGTTCAGCACGACCGACAATGATTTCCACGCCCAGTTCCGCCGTTGTGTCAACGGCGCATTTGCCATGTCACAGCTCGTGCAATACGAGCCGTTTGTGGATAACACGACAAAACTGTTCCTCAAACAAACCGAGAAATTCTTTGTCAACAATCCTGAGGGCTGCGACTTTACACGCTGGTTGCAGTTCTACGCCTTTGACGTCATTGGAGAGATTACGTATACCAAACGCCACGGATTCATTGAGAAGAACGAGGACATCGACGGGATCGTTGCGTATCTGTCATGGCTCTTCATCTATGTGGCTCCGGTAAGGCCCTACCTTCGTCATACAGTTGTACAACTATCTGTGTCTTGTCCGTATTGTTGCTAACAGGACAAAGGTCGGACAAATACCATTCCTGGATCTTCTCTTCCTGAAGAACCCCATCTACCTGAAGTTGTCACAGTATGGCCTGATCGACTCTACATTCCCCGTCGCCAAGTTTGCACGCGCACGAATGGCTGAGCGCCTGCCGGACATTGTTGAGGGCAAAGGCCCCATTCTGCCGACCAAGGCCGAAAAACGCCCAGCTGCCGATCTGCTCTCCAAGTTCCTCGCAGCCCAAGAGGCGCGCCCCGAGTTCATGTCGGACACGCTTGTTCAGACAATGGCTGTGTCTATGGCCTTTGCCGGCTCGGAGACGACGGCCATTTCACTCTCTGCCGTATTCTACTATCTTTTGCGCAACCCCGCCGCATTGAAGAGCCTGTACGAGGAGCTGGACAACGCTGCCCACAATGGTCATTTCAGCGACAATGAAACAGGCCTGGTGACGTGGCACGAGAGCCAAGGGCTGCCGTACCTCGACGCCTGTGTCAAGGAGGCCTTCCGTCTGCACCCGGCGGCCGGCCTGCCATTAGAGCGCATTGTCCCACCGGGCGGCACCGAGATCGCCGGCCACTTCATCCCCGGCGGCACCATTGTCGGTTGCTCGGCCTGGGTCCTGCACCACACCAAGGAGGTCTTTGGTGACGACACGGATACCTACCGGCCGGAGCGCTGGCTGGTCGACGAGTCCAAGGTAGCGGCCGCCAAGGAGGACCAAAAGGCCGAGGTGCGTGAGCGCGAAGAGCTGCGCATCAAGGAGATGAACGGCATGATGCTGCAGTTTGGCATGGGCTCGCGGACGTGCATCGGCAAGAACATTAGCCTGCTCGAGATTTACAAAGTTGTTCCCAGTCTTCTGCGGAGATTTGAGGTGAGTTACTTGCCATCTGTGTCTTTGTCATTTCGCGGGCGCATGATACTAACTGGATAGATTGATTTCGTTGACCCGAAGCAAGAGTGGAAGCTGATCAACGCCTGGTTTGTGAAGCAGACCAACTTCTGGACGACTTTCAAGGTCCGGGAACTGGTCCAGCCTCAGTCGGCATAGGGATACGGTGTTTAGATGGACGTCTTAGCAGGAGGGGAGAATGTGCTATTACGCTTCTTGGAACTAGAATTATGCAAGTGCTGTCTTTATCTTATTTTTTGTTTATGTTTTGGTTAGTTTTGCAAAATGCTGAGCATGCCATTTTGTCATATTCTAGATCCTTTTTTATATGTAATACACGTAATACGCGAAGCAAGCTTTTATGTATAATATAAAAGTAAAATAGAGATGATGAACTTGAAATGAATCCGAATAATTAAAAGGGAACATAAGATACACAATAAAAAAAACATGTCAAACCACTACATCAAATCCAAAAAAAAGTAATATTTACCCCAGACACTCACAACAATATGTACACAACCCTTAGAATTCAAGTGTACCTCATAAAAATGAACATCCGCCAGTTTATGCTCGCTTCTGGCACCCGTCGTGAAATACGCAGTATTAAATTGGACCGTACGAAAAAGGGCACAAAAAGGAAACAAGTATCGTCTGGATATCCCTACAGAAACGCCGTGCGTAGAACACCAGGGGAAAAATGTAAACAAAACCACCTTGGCCTCACGGCTCACAACGCATATTTTATGATCCCTACCACTCAAGCCGTAGACTTTCGCTGTTGCCGTTTTGACGGAGATGCGGCGGACGGTGCCGCTGCTGTCCGTTTTCGCTTGGTAGACCCTGGAGCCGGTAGTGACCGGGGCACGGATGCCACGGCGCGGTCTTCGGACCGCAGCTGGCGTGTTGGTGTTGCCTTGCCAGGGGCACCACGCATCTGGGCGTCGACCTCATCATCAAAGTTCCCCTCGTCGTCCTCGTTTTCGCCATCACCGCCAAGGTCGGTCGGGGCCTGTGTTTCATTGCCAAAGGCAAAGTCCTGTGTCTCAGGCTCGACCGTCCTTGTCTTTGTCGGCGTCCGTTGCCGTGCCCCAGAACGAGTAACCCGGCGTGATTGGAAATCGTCTTCGTCGTCGTCTTCGTCGTCACTGTCCTCCTCCTCGTCGCCGTCACCACCGACATCGCCGGCACCGGCTTCGGCCTCTGCACCTGAGAACCGAACATGCTTACTGGGACTTTCAGGCGCTGGTGCATCAGGATGCGCCTCGCTGCTTCTGAAAAATCCGCGGACGACGTCCACTAAGCCCCTGCTGCGACTGGCCGAGCCCGGCGCTGGATTACCAGACGGTGTCTGCGCGTCTGCCTCTGCTGCCTCTGCCTCTCCGTTGCCTTCTTCTCCTTCGTCCTCCTCGCCACCCTCCTCATCTTCACCCTCCTCGTCGCTGCCACTGGCTTCGGTGACTTCCTTGTATCGTATCCAGAAAGACCGGAACTCTTTTAAGTTGAAATCGTACCATGCAGCAAGCTGCGATGCCAGGAGCGTATACTTGGTGCTGTCGAGCCCGAGCGTCTCGACGACACTATCCCAGTTGATCCGGTCACCGTCATCTGCAGCATCCTGCAACGCTGTCCAGAGCGAGTACGTGTCGAGGAAGCGTCCACCAATGAAGAAGGATGGCGGGACGTACACACCAAGGTAGTCGTTGTATTCATCGAGGCACTTTTGAAACACTTGCTGCTGGTTGTCATGGTCGCCGACGCCATTGAGAATAGCATCATCGTCAAGGTCAAGACCGTCGTCACCGCCGTCGATCTCCTCTGTGTCTTCTTGCGGGTTGCCTTGTTCTCCATTCGACGTGCCGTTCTGGGTTTGGCTCTGAGGAATCGTACTGGGTGCAGCTGCTGGTGCGGCATCCCCTTTTGTGTACATATTCCGGAGTCTGTAGTATCGACTACGTAATTCGTTCAGAGATATATTTGGGAACTAAACAGCAGACGAAAGAACTTGTTAGTTGCCGATGATCTTTCTAAACCTCCGACGTAAGCGGAATACGGAACACAAGCTAGTAGCTAATATGCGCATTACCTTTGAGTGAAGATATTCGAAGAAGGAGTTTGTTGGTTTTGCATGTGTTCCAGATTTTCGCTTCTCATCTTTCCAAAACGAATACGCCTTTGAGAGAATGTAATAATCTGTATAGTCCATGAAGAACAGTTCGCCGGGCCGGCCAGAACTGTCGTCAAGCATCTCGTCTTTCTGTGCTTGGTCTCGTGCTTCGTTGCGTCGCTGTTCTTGGGGTGGTTCCTGTAGTGGCTCTTGTGGCGGCTCCTGTGGTGGTTCCTGTTGTGGTTCCTGTGGTAGTTCTTGTGGTGGTTCCCGTGGTGGTTCCTGCGGTCGTTCTCGCGGTGGCCGACGTTCTGAATCGGGCCCGTTTTCCATTTGTGCCCGAACTTCCTCGCCTTTTCGGGACGATTCTCGAGGTTTCTTCTGTGGTCGTTCTTGGATTCTTGCGACAGGTACTCTCGTTGTCAACGACAGCTTCTTCACCCACCTGTCTCGCCACGATTGGTAGGTATGATGAGGGTACTGCGAAAATCACTGGTTAGCAGAGTTCGACTCTAGTCAAAGGCAAAGGGGGGAAAACCACAGAAACACGGCAGAAGCGCAGTACCTTTTCTTCCAGCTTCTTGTACATCTCGTTACCGCGGTCGTGAAAATATTCATCTTCCTCGATGGCCCGTGTCGCCTTCTGTATGACCCAATCTTGCAGGATGCGGTCGTCTTCGCGCGTGAATGCATTGCGTGTCTTTACGACACTCTGAGACCGTGCCGACGCATAGACCAAACCATCCTCTTCTTCCCTTTGAGGCGGAGACCGTTCGCGTTCGCCTTCGGTCCGCTCATTGCGCGCAGGCCGCGCAGGCCGCGCAGGTGTAGTCGACGGGTGGGCTTGCCGTTGTATGAGGTACGGCGCCTCATCGACTTGCCGTTTCTGTTTGATGCAGTCCACTATCCACTTGTGGGAGTAGTAATCGCCAGAACGGTAACTTGGTGGGCCGCGAGACGGGTCTCTAATGCGTATGTCTGCATCATTCTCGTTGGCGACCACGATGCCGCCATTGTTCTGCAGTTAGATGTTAGACAAAAGGTCAAGGAGGATGCAAACACAAATCAGAGAGAGAGAGACAGAGAGGAAGGCCCACCTGGATTATCTTCTTTGTCTCATTGGGCGTGTGGATGGAGACATAAAACTTAAGTCCCTTGAAGCTGAAGGCCATGGCTGCGGAATGGTTTGCTGCAGTCACACCGGCCCTTGGGATGCGCCGAAAGGCCTAGCCCTGCGACAAGCTTCTAAGAGTAGGGAGTGTAATGGGTGGCAGGATGAAGTCGTCGAAAACTTGGACCGCTCAGCCGTTGAGGTTCCGGGGTGGCGACACGCGTGGGTGCAGCTGGATCGCACCCGGCGCAAAACAACGCAGTGGCAAACAGAGTCAGGTTGGGGTCGCGTCACATTGCGACGCTGGCTGGTGTTGGGTGCATGCGCGTCACGTAGAGGTGCTGCGTCGTGAAAGATTGACAATTCGGTCGCTCTCCAAAATCCAACTCTTTCTGTTGATAAGGGGTAATTATGCCGTTGAAAGGAAGGTGCCGTTTGGCAAAGGTCAGTAACCCGGAGGCAGGTACAATCGACACAGCGGGACGCGTGGAGGACCTGTGAATGGGGAAAGAGACGTGACGAAGGGGACCCACTCCCTTTGGACTAGTTTGGGAAGGAGCGTTCCCCATAAACACCGAATCACGTGGTTTAGCTGGTCCATATTTAGGTTGGAAAGAGGAAGGAAGCTCTTGCCGCTAGGCCCAAATCCAAGGAGGCGCAAGGCTGACGCATTTGGAAATCAACAGAGTGAGTAAGGCAAACACTTGCATTCGGCCTCAGCTTCCCCCTTTTGCGTGAAGACGGCCACAACCCGTCCACGGATCTTCTTGACGGCTCTCCGACGACTCACCTGACGGCTCCCTACCCGTCCGGCCAAACCTATTTCGAACCTCATCGATGGTCGTCTTCGATCTCGATCATGATCGCGACTGCACGGTAACAGCTTTAAACTGTGCAGCTTCTTCCCGCGCCGACACCTGTTTCGACGGTGTATCACCCTCCTCCGCCCAAGGCCGCTTCGATCTAGTCACCCAAGATGGGAGTCATCGCCAAGATGGCCGGCATCGTGCTGGCCATCTCGCTGCTGACCTTCATCATCTTTTTTGGACGGCTGCCAATATTTAGGTAGGGACGAGACGGGACGCAATGGGAGCAGGAACAACGGCTAACGTACGACGAACAACAGGCGAACTCCCATCGCATGGCTCTACACATTTTTCGTGGCGAACCTGCCAGGCGGGGTGTTGGCGGTCGACCGGGCCGTTACCGGCGGCCGGTTCACGTCGTCGCTGAAGCGGTTCGGCCACTTTATGATGAACGACAAGCACCCGACGGTGCTCATCTTCTTTCTGGTGCTGCTGGCGGGCTCCGAGTGGATGGCGATCCCGTCGGCGTGGGCGTTTATGGGCACCGTGCAGCGCATGGCGGTCGTCGTGTCCAGCGCGCTGCCGTATGTGTTTCTGTACCTTGCGGCGTACACGGACCCGGGCACCGTGTCGATGGGCAGCCTCAAGCACCACCTGTCGCTGTACCCGTACGACTACGGGCTGTTCCACCCGGGCGCGCGCTGCTACACGTGCAACCTGCTCAAGCCGCCGCGCAGCAAGCACTGCCCCGTGTGCAAGCGCTGCATCGGGCGGCTCGACCACCACTGCATCTTCATCAACAACTGCGTCGGCGTGGGCAACCACCACTGGTTTTTGCTGTTGTTGCTGTCGACGGCCTTTCTGGCCTCCTACGGCGGCTGGATGGGGCTCTGCATCCTGCGCGACCGCGTGGTCGAGCGGTTCCCGTCGTGGTCGATGCTGCCGTGGCGGGCGTACGAGATGAGCGGCGGGGCCCTGGCCAACACGCCGCTGGCGACGCGCCCGATGTCCATGGAGACGTGGCTGATGCTTTTGTCGTGGGGCATGAAGAACTACATCCAGCTGGGCAGCGTCAGCCTGCTGGGCCTGCTGATCAGTCCGCTGGTCTGGGGCCTCCTCGCGTACAACCTGTGGAACGTGTGGACGGGGCAGACGACCAACGAGAGTCTCAAGTGGTCGGACATGAAGTGCGACATGGAGGACGGGCTCGTGTACAAGCGGCGGCTGGACGTGGCAGCCACCGTGTCCGCGTCTGCCTCGTCCTCCCGCTGGCCGCTCGTGCCGGAACACGTGTTTGTGCTCTGCGAGGACGGCAACCCGCCGCCGCCCAACGAGAAGGACCTGCCTGGGGTGGGCGACTGGGAGCGGGTGTGGACGCTGCGGGATGCCGAGAATCTGTACGACCTGGGGTTCTGGAGCAACCTCAAGGACATTTTTATTCCGAATTACCAGTTTAATACAAAAGACCTGCCGGCGGCAGAACGGCGGGGCCGGCCAAGGAGGCGGGTGCCGCGAAAGTAGATGGTGAGGCAGGGGGAGGACGGCCAAAAAGGCAAAAGAACACAAGATAGCGAGCGGCGTTTACTTCAACGGATGGTATCATTATGGGAAAAGCAGTCTTTATTATTTTGGAATAGACTTTTTTGGGGTTTGCGTTTACTTTTGCTGTTCATTTATGTTCTTCTTTCTTTCGGATATACAGACGTCATGTTTCATTATTTCTATGATTGTTTCTACGTCGCTATTTAATTGTGTCGTGGTGGTGGTACAGGGAGTATGATATTACACGAAACGCATCAGCAAGACGACGCTCACGCCCGCTTCCACCTCCGTCTGCGACCACGAGAAAGCGGCGACTTCGACCCAACTTCAACAGGATCGGACGCGGACTCTGTCCTGCCAACCGGTGCAGACTGACTCTCGGCCTTGGCTTCTGCTGCGGAGGCTGCAGCGACTCTCCGTGCCTTGCGCTCCTGGCGCTCCGCCTCCTGTCTTGAAATGTACGCCAGTTCGGCTGCCTGGTCGATCACAGCCTCGGTGACCTTCTCGGACCACCGGATCTGGTCAAACGGAACGACAGTGCCGGAGGAGGCGCCGACATTGTTCGTGGCGCCCTCACCATGACCAGCCTTCTTCTGTTTCCTAGACGACGAGGGCGCGGCCGCGGCGCTTTCATGCTGCGGCATCAGACCGGCCATGCGACAGATTGCCAGACGTGCACCGGCAACACCGAATCCGCCGCCGCGTGGGTCACCCGCGCCTGTCACGACAATCTCCGGCACCCAGCCCTGGCCCTCCATCCACGGCACCGTGCCCAGGGACTCGCGCTCGACACGGCGCAGCATCCTCCATATGCGCACACAGCCTGCGCGCAGGGCCTGTTCGCCCGTGGACGTGCCCGAGCCAAAGGCGGGCTCGGCGGTCGTGACGGGCGCGACGGTGGCGGGCCTGCGCAGCTGCTTGGGCAGCAGCAGCTTGTCGGCCTTTGTCAGGACAATGGTGGTGCGGACGTTGGCGTCGCGCAGCATCTCGAGCGCCTGGCGGTCGCCGTCCTTGAGGCCGGCCACGGCATCCACGAGCAGGACGGCGCCCCGCAGCGTGGCACGGCGCTCAAGGTACTTGGCAATCTCCGTGCCCCACTCGGCCTCGGACATGAAGCCGTAGCCCGGCATATCAATCAGAATGAGGCTGTGCGCCGGCGAGGGCTCGCCGGGCGACTGCGCGCGCTTCTGGGAGCGGGACAGCACGCCGCTCTTGCTGGCTTCCGGGACGCCCCTCGCCCGTCTCTGCTCTTCCTCCTCCTGCACCCGTGCAAAGGTTTGTGCTTGCGCGGCACGCAGTGGCGGTCCAAACCCGTAGGCGTTCATCATGCGGGTGCAGCCGGCGCGGGCGCTGGTCACGGCCAGGCCCTTGCGGCCCGCGTTAGAGCCGTTGGCGCGGCCGGCCTTGCCGCCCGATTCGAGCCCCGCCAGCGCATTGACGAGTGTCGACTTGCCGACGTTGGAGCGGCCCAGAATGCAAATCTCGGGTATGCGCGTGTTCCTTGGCATGTGGAGGAAACGCGGCGCCGAGTACAAGAATCCGGATTCGGGGCGCTCAGAGACCGAAAAGACTGACGAGGCACGGTCGAGCACAGCGGATGTCGGTGTTGGCGCCAGGCGCACCGCGGCGGCAGCGGCTTCCATTGCAACAGCATCGGCGTCGGTGGGTGGTGGGAGGAAGGCGACGGCGCGGATGTGGTGGGACGGTTCCACTCGCGCGAGGCCGTGATCTTTGCTTACGCGGGGTTTTGTGCTAAGTTGGCGAGAGACATTGGGTGTCGTCTTCGTTTTGGACGCCGGATTCGAAGCTTTTGGTGGTTTTGGGGAGGATTTCGCGGCCGTCTTTGGGGGCGTCGCCTTTCGTGATTTGGAGGATGCGACGGGCGCAGCCTTGGGCCTGAGCGCCTGTTTTGTCCTTGGCTGGTACTGCTGGGCCAGGGTAAGGTTCCGACATGACGACGATATGGCTCGGCAGCCGTTGTTGGGCACGCCTGCGTGAAAGAACGGCCGAGTTGAAGTGGCCGATGAGTAGGACCGCCCCGAAGTGGACGCAAATGTCGGTGCGCGGACGGTCTTGGCCACCATTTGCCACACCTGCGGCGACAGCGCCGCAACCCGGTCGTGCCATAAGTGACTCTTCATTGCGGTAAGCCACTTGGGAACGACTTGGTGGGAGTGTGTTGAGCCGTCGCGATACAGAGGCTACTGGAAAGTGAAGCCTTTTCTGGGCAGAATTTAACAACTGACGTTTAGATGATAGAGGGCGGTTGTGCCCCATATTTTTAGCGCTCAGAGGCGGCAACTCCCATTGAACTTTTTTCTTCTCGCCAGCGAAGTGGGGCCAATCACTGTTGCTCTTAACGTGGACTTTAAACCTCACGTCGTCGTCCTCTACTCTTTACTCTTCTCACAACCCACGCACACCAACACGCACACACAATGACGCACAACCTACGCTCCCTCTATCGCGCGTTCCTCCGCGAACTGCCACCCCGCCCACTCCTCAAGGGCCCACGATCGCCTCTGCATGCTCAGCTGCGCGCTGAGTTTGAGGCTCCGTCAGCTTCCTCGGCGTCTTCTGCGACCTCTTCGTCGTCGCCGACTCCCACTCCAGCCGCCCAGTCGGCCTTCCACGGCGAGCAGTACTTCGCCTTCCTGCAAGCCCAGCGCACACATACCATGCTGCTCGAGCGCTACAATCCCAACCTGGCCGG